TTTACACATTCAAAAAATGTAATTTGCTTAAAATAAACACATTCAGATCAGTACAGACTGTACGAAATATTTATGTATTGAATTTAAGATAAAAACACCTTTGTCTGAAAATATGTTTTACCCAAAACTCCTCAAGAGGCAGCTTTGGCTTCACCTGGTTCTAGTTTGCTAAAGGAAAACTATATTATTGCATTTCAGGCAATACAGTGTTTATTTCGTGAATTAAATACATTTTTTTAACTTAAAAAATGAATTTAATTACATGTTTATCTGCCACTTTTCATGTATTTCTAGTGTTGCATTAAAAAGTCCAAGATATTTAATGAAATGAACGCAGAATTTTCAGAATAATAAATTACTAAAAAAAATTAAAAAAAATCAGTAATTGCAAAGCTACACGATTCACATTTCCTGAATGTGAATCTTAATATAGGAGGCCTTTTTTTTTTTTGCTTTTTTTTTTTAATTTATTTTATTTTTAAAGGAGAATGGTGTCAACTAAACTCTGCAAGTATTAGAGCAGTACGAGATTAAATAAACGAGTAATGTATCAACATGAGAACTTATTTTAACCACTCGTTGATCAAATGATTGACATGCATTAAAAGGAGAGGTTTTTAGCTGTTTCTGCAGAAGTCGGCAGGCCGGTCCCTGGGTTGTGATCCAACGCCTTCAGAGTGTGAACTGAAGTGTTTTAAGCTTCTTCTTTTGGGACTGTCCAGCTCTTCAGCTCTCTCACCAGCAGGCGATTAATGCACTTGAACGTGTCGAGAGCAAATATTGACCTTAATGTTTTTTGGCATGACCGCATTTCATTTGGGCTCAGTTACCACAGCTAACTCGCGCTCACAGCCGAACCCGTCTCCCGTGCAGCTGCGGCGGAGCTCGGATCTGTTACATATTCCACGAGACTTTCGGCCGCACGCTGCAGTCCATCGACCCGCTGGGAGGACTGACCGATCTGGACATCCTCACCGCCATCCGCAACGCTACGGTGAGCCGCTGATGTCGTCTGTGGCTGTGTATTCCTTTCGTTTCGTGGTGGAGAGCAGGTAAATAATTGTCCTGCTTTCTCCCTGCAGGGTCCGAGACCTGCGCTTTTTGTGCCCGAGGTGTCCTTCGAGTTGCTGGTGAAGAGGCAAATTAAGCGTCTGGAGGAGCCCAGCCTGCGCTGCGTCGAGCTGGTTCATGAAGAGCTGCAGAGGATCATCCAGCACTGCTCCTCCTTTAGCACTCAGGTTAGTCAAGAGAATGTTATCCACTTTCACTGTCATGCATCAGTGGTTTATTTAATTAGAATGTGCCTCTGTGTGTATTAAAGGAGCTTCTACGATTTCCCAAACTGCATGATTCCATTGTGGAAGTTGTGACTGGATTATTGAGGAAGCGCTTGCCAATCACGAATGAAATGGTAATCCACAGCTTCACTATAATAATTCTGGGTTAGCTGCTAGCAACAAAAAAGCTATTTTTTATTATTTATTTATTTTGGCTGAGATCAGTTTCCAGTTGTCTTTTTGACCGATTCCACATTTCTTTCTCTAAGAACAATAAAACAGGAGGAGAAATCAGTATGCTGCCAGTTTTTGACCAAAGTTGTGATTTTAAGTTGAAAATGCAGGAAGAACAATATCCTCCAAATTTATGGATCAAAACATTTGTACCTAATCTACATCAGATTTTTTTCTTCTGTTTGACATTTATTTGCATAGTGTCTCATTCAGATACAAGGTCTCATTTACAAGAGAGAAATATATTACAAAAAAATATTCTGAATTCTCTGTATTTGATCTCCTGATCAGGAGGAAAATTGCCAGAATCTGATCTCAGTCTGATTGATTTGTGGACCTCTATTAATTATAGGAAACAACTAAATCTTACTGACATTCTGAGCCATTTTGTTCTGTTTTTGTGTGTCAGGTGCACAATTTAGTGGCCATAGAGCTCGCTTACATCAACACGAAGCATCCGGACTTTACAGACGCAGCGCAGGTCTCGGCATCCGTCAACAGTCAGCAGGTACAATTTGTTTGTTTGTGTCCTACAGCAAACATTCACGTCTCTCACTCATCCTGACAAATCAAACAGCAGGCGCTGCGCTCGACGAAGCCGCAGTCTGTACGCTTCACATCCAAGCGTTACAGGATGTGAGATTCGCACTCGGTGAAATTGCCTTTTTTTTTTTTTTTTTTTTGCCCATTGCCTTCGTTGCATTCCTGCTCTCAGGCTGACGCCACTGATGGAGGGAAGCGGTGGAAGAACGAGAAGGTTAGTGAGGAGAGAACTCCAGCCGTGGGGTTTGGCAGCCCGAGTAAAAGCCAAGCCATTAACCTCCTTGACACGGTGAGCGATGGGATCATTAGAAGCGCGAAACGTTTAGGATTTAATTGATCGCGCGCGGCATAAAGTTTCACGTCGCGTCCTGTCTTCCAGGCGATGCCCGCATCCCGCAAACTGACCGCGAAGGAGCAGCGGGACTGCGAGGTCATCCAGCGACTCATCAAGTGCTACTTCCTGATTGTTCGAAAAGGCATCCAAGACAGGTTCGATTTGACTGGGACACACCTAGAACGCCAGAGGCCCCTCTGAGTCGGTCGCTCCATTCCGCTGTTGTTGATTGTCACTCTCTGACTTTTGAAACTTTCTTGGCTCTGTATGTGTGTGTGTGTGTGTGTGCGCGCGCGCGTGCAGTGTGCCCAAGACAGTGATGCATTTCCTGGTGAATCATGTGAAGGAGCATCTGCAGAGCGAGCTGGTGGGTCAGCTCTATAAGCAGCCGCTGCTGCAGGAGCTGCTCATCGAGTCGCAGGAAACCGCGCAGCAGCGCATCGAGGTCGCTCAGATGCTTGAGGTAAAACTGAAGGACGCTGCTTTTGAATAAATAACAAATTTTTTCTTTTTTTTTTTTTTTTCTTTTTTTCTTTAGGTCCAGCAATTTAACCATCTTCTTTTGCCTGTTTTGTTTATTTTCCCCTCAGGCTCTTAAAAAAGCCAATACCATCATCTCAGAGATTCGGGAGACGCATCTGTGGTAGCCAGAAGAAATCGGGTTGCTTGATCAGCTTTGAGTTTTGAGTGTATGTGAGTTTACTGTAGACCGAGTCTGTGGAGCAGGAACACCTGAAGCACATTAAGATCAGCTTTTTTATTCCCCCCATTGGCTTTGTTGTTGAGCACACCGAGGCTGTGTTTAACTGTGAATGTTAGGTACAGAGGACCATTATTTATCCACTCAGGCCAAAAGTCGTCTTATTTAAGTTATACATGTGGAAAAACAGCCAGGAACAAAATCTGTTTTCTTTTGGATATTTTTTTTTTTTTTTTTTGCTTCAGGACAAAGTGTTTGTTTTAATTTAGAGGATTCTGCTATAATTGTAAAAGTATTGTAAATGATATGTGAATTAATTATGCCTCTATTTTGTTATCAAACGGTGTTAACCCTTTGCAGTTACCAGATGCTAAAAGAAGTGTTAGATCCAGAAGTCTTAACTTTTTATTTCAGCTTCAGCTTGTCCATCACACTGTTCCTCTAGATTAAAGTTCTTCTCAGTAAGCCAGAGAAAATGGTGGAGTAACCAAAAGGTTTCCACGACTGTATGAAACATAGAACAATGCAGGGCTGCTGCCCCTCCTCCACCTGTAGCTGTGCACTGCCATCAGCTGGCTGAAAGCAGGATATTAAACTTTTCCTTCATTTACAAAAACAGACAAATTCGGGTGGTTGGAAATATCTCTGGTTTTGCCAAATGCAGATCCTGATGGTGTGTGAACTAAAACAGCCCCGCCCCACGTTGTTATCAATGTAGCGCTGTCTTAAAGCTGCAGTAAGCAATCCATTAGCGACAGTAAGATATGAAACGATAAAACCAACTGGACTGTGCTGCACGTTATAACCTTTGTGTAAAAACTGTGATGCCAATAGTCAAATTTTCTTTCCGGCCGTTTTCCCCCTTTGCTCGGGAGAGCTGGTGATAAATTCAGAAACCAATACAACATCGATCGTAACACTGCAACACAGCAGTGAAGACGCACGCTGCAGTCAATTTCCTAAAAATGAGTCTGTGACTAGATGTTGCTTTTTCTGTAGCTCTGGCAAATATCACCGTTTATTACTGAGTCACATTTGCATATCAGCTCGTTTGTGTTGTAGCAGCTTTTGTGTGTTGTCATTAAGGAAAGCTGTCCCACCATTCATTTCCATGTTTGGTTTAGATATAGAGAAGGAGCATCACTTAGTGCTGATTACTGAAATGTCTGTCAAATGAAGCAAATACAGAAGTAGAACTGTTTGACTTTATATGCAAAAATAGTTACTTTGTTACATTTTCCCAGATCAATTCCTAATTTCTTATCCGCTTACTGGTGTTCTTTGAAAATGCCCTTAAAGTGAATAACTCAGGATTCAGCTATTTTCCTGTATTTTTTTTTCCTTTCACTGATGTAAACATGGACCCAATGTTACCCAGATCTCCCTCCTTCTCTAAATATTTTAGAAAACATTTCATCTGTTGCTTGTTTTCAAGTTTCATAGTAGTGTGCAATCCTCCTTAGGTTTAGCTCTTTTAAAAAATGAGCAGGGTTTCTACTCGGTCTGGGAAAACATTCCTTGTAATTTTTCCATCCATTCATCCTAAATGTGATGGGTACAACTGGACATATGAGTTTTTATGTAACCATTGGACAGTAGCGCCATAGTCCTGCCCTAAAGTCACACCTTATGAACCCCAAAGCCCCCTGTTTACCTCCGCATGTATGTGCTCAGTGTGCATGTGCAGACGTGTGAATGAACGTGCGTTTTGTACTATTTAAATGTATATTGTATCGGCTGCTGCCTCTGAGTTCATGCCTGCCAATATTTGTGATACATGTCTGTTGAAATGAAGTCCAAAAGGCTCATTAAACTTTAAACACTGGAGACTTTATGAGTAGGAGTTTGTTTTTCTACATCAGATATGTTATAACTCTCATCTCACACACGCTCGCGGTCGTATGCACCACCAAACCTGCGTTGTTTGGGGTCGCTTCAGAGCGACCGCCCCGATTCTCCTTTGCTTGATGAATTATTACCTTGTGATCAGTCCGGCTTGCACACGAACAAAGGGGGTTTGATAGATGTTGGAGAAAACCTGGAGAGCTGCTCGTTCCAGTTAGACGAGAGCAGGTGGGGTGAGGACGCCACAGTCAGAAACAGGACATTTGTTTTGCGTTTTTCAAACATGACAACTCCAATCACTGCTCTCTCTTTGAAGCTGGTTACAGGTGCTGAACGCAGCCTGAGAAGCAGATGGAAAGTTGTTTGACTTCTCTGACAGATGGAAAAATGAACCTGCGGGCTAATAAACCCTGATCAGTTGGCTATTTTAATCTGCCCCTCACCGTAGCCAGTTATTCTGATCACCCTCTCATAGCACGCCCCACCAACTGAGTCTGGACCAGACCATACCAACTCCAGCATGATGAGAGGGGGCTCTGCTGCTGCATCAAGGCAGCTCTTGTAGCATGATCCTCTCTACCCAATCAAATAAGCACTCATTCCCTGAAAGTGACACTTCTGTCGAGGTAAAAAGACCTCGCTCGGATTCTTTTCTTTTTTTCCCTTTCAGCATCATCGTGTCTGGGGGGTTTCTGAGCCGCGTCTCCCTCCTTGTGCTTCTCCCACCATTGGGCCAGCCAGCAGAGCGTGCTGAACAAAGCCACGAGAAAGGAGAGGGAGAGAAAGGGGGAGAGAGAGTGAGGGGAGCTTCTGGGGAAGAAATGTCTCTCGCTGACTCTGTCGCCTCGACAACCGGGTAAGAAAAGGAGGGGAGGGAAGCACCAGAACAGGAGGGAAAGGACTTGGGCGCATTGAAGGAGAATAAGAGCTGGGTGTTTGAATCAGGAGATTCCAGCCGAGTGAGGAAAGAAAGTGGATTTATTTTTGTGTGTGTGGCATTTTCTCATAAGGGCTCATTGGGTGGATCTATCGCTCTTACCTGTGAGTTATTAACTGTGAAAAAAAAAAAAAACAGTTAAATCTTTTTTTTTTTTTTTTTTTTCTCCCGTTCAGATATCGGCGCATGGAGCAGATGAAGCTGCAGAGGTCAAGTTCAGCTTTATAAAAGTGGACCGGGCAGGCCTGAACGCTCCACCTGTGATTCCTGTGTGATCAGCCTCAGGTAAGTCTTCCTTCGCCGATCAAGGTATTTGCTTATTTACTTATTTAGGAAATGCAAATAAGACGACTCCTCGCCTGCTTAACGAATGTGAGCTAATTGGTTTCATAAATCACTAAAAGTTTGGGTTAATTAGTGTCACTGTGTGTTTTTATTGGCAAATTATGCAGCCGATAAAGAAAAACTAAAACAAATTTAGGGCTTACTTACTCTATTTTTAAAAAAATTATTTTATTCAGACTGTAAGGAGGGGGAAACGTATAAATGTTTCATCTCCACCATGCTTCACTCACCTATTGCATGCTGCTTCTGCTCCTCCAGCAGCGTGAGCAGCAATTCATCAACAATGAGAGAAATGAGCACCTCTGTTCACCCAAATTGGATCTTGAGAGTTTGAGTCGAAGCATAACACTCAGGCCGTGGTGGAGAATAGAAAGCACGCCGAATATAAACATCATTCTGGGCGCTCATGCATAAGAAATGTATTCATAGAGCACCGGTGGGGGAAATCAATGCCTCTTTAAATTGGGTGCTATTCCAGCTGACTTTACATCAGCCTGATACATGTGTGTGTGTGTGTGTGTGTGTGTGTGTGCGTGTGCGTGTGCGTGTGTGTGTATTTGGGGTCCAAGAGAGGCAGCATGTGGTGTCCATATCAGATAAGATGGAGAGGAGATAAACTGAAGACGGTAGAGGTGGGAGGGAGGTTTAAAGCTGTTGTCAGAGGCAAGGTTAAAAATCTCTCACCTCTGAGGGGAAGAAGACGCAGAGAAAACGCAGAAAGATTGAAGGGTGGAGAAGAGCAGCAGAGTGGAAGGCAGAAAGTGAATCTAGTGCTCGGCGAGGCCGAGAAAAATAGGGATAGTTGAAAGATTCAAGAGGCTGGCACAGCAACAAGCTCCTGCTTCATCCCCATGACACCGACTTTAAGATTTAGAGACAGGTAATTATTCGGTCTGAGTTTCTGTGGGGTTGGGGTTTTTTTTTTTTTT